GGGTTGTAAAGATTCTTGGTAACCTGATTTAGAGCAGTTTGGTGGGTTCACTCTTCTCTTCTTTTGTGGTGATATCTTGGGTAGTGGGTTGAGACCAGGATAGATGACTGGGGATGAAGCTGGGGGTAGCTCCTCATGGAGTAGAGAGCAAGATAAAGCATTTGAGAATGCTCTTGCAACTTATCCTGAGGACTCCACAGATCGGTGGGAGAGAATTGCTGGTGATGTTCCTGGGAAAACTCTAGAGGAGATTAAACATCATTATGACCTTCTGGTGGATGATGTTAACCGGATTGAATCAGGTTGTGTACCTCTTCCTGCCTATAATTCTTCTGAAGGTTCAACGAGCCAGGCTGGAGATGAAGGAACTGGAAGTAAATCGAGATCAGATCAGGAACACCGCAAGGGGATTGCCTGGACAGAAGACGAACACAGGTGAATTTGTTATTTATTAATTTATGCATGTTTCTTATATAGTAGATTATTTAGATACTTGCAAAAGTTTCTTGGTAATGGTGAAGATGTTTACTATAATTTTATAAAATGCTTTACATCATACATATTTGTGTTATTTCGAATTAGTTGTCTGGCAGGTTAAATTGACATTTTTTGGGAATAACTTCTTAATGTTGTTGGGGAATTTTGTTGATTATCTTCTGACAAGCATTGCCTAATGTTGTGCTGTGCATTTCTTCCAACATCTGCATTACTTGTGTAGAGAACCAGTTTCTGCAAGTAACTGGTTCACGAATCTGCAGGTGGCCTTTGTGCTATTTGCTTTTGCCATTCAAAATGGAATGGAGGCTAAGGCAGGTTGTCATTTATGCTTTAGTTTGTGTTTATTTGCTGAAGCTAAAAATTCAAAGGAAAATGGGTACAAAAGAAAACTCCCAAATCGATCATTTTGTTGTTAAATGAAACTGAAATGTGAGTAGAAAGGTGATCTTATGTTACATTTGTGGAAAGAAGTCTTCTCTGTGGCTACTTGAGTGTGGCTGTGCACATTTTTGGTTTGATAACTCTGAAGTCTTTGTTTGAGAATCTTGTACAAGAAAACAGGTCTTATTGATGTGTTTTGCATTTCCTCATACATTAAAAAAGGGGAATATCAAGCATGTTATCCTTATTGGAAATTTTATGGATCCCTCATCATTTTATCTTTTGGACACTACAGATTGTACTCCCCTTCCGCATCCTTTTTCTTTTTCTGGTTTTCTTGGGGAATTACCTGTGTTGGTTTATCTTGAGTAGTTCCTGGGTTTTTGGCAGTGTATGGTGTGCGCTTGCTTATGTATTCATGCTCCTAGGGAGGTCAAGAAGGCTGTACCCTTTGTTCCTCTTTCCATCTTTTTGTTAGTTTAAAAAACAGAAGGGATTTTGATGAGAATGACTTGTTCTCTCTTTTGTGGGATGAAAAAGAAAATCATGAAAGGGCACCTGAGGTGCCACCAGTTCAGAAGGAATTCTTTTTTGAAATAAAAATATGGTATATGTCGCTAAATACAAGTACAAACGGGGTACTAACTTATATACAAAAATATTTATATTTCAATCAAATTGTCAGTAAGGTCTCTGAAATCCTTTAAAGAATATAGATGATGACCAATAACTAAAACATCCAGGTTATTTAAAAAAAAAACTAAAACATCCAGGGTCCAGAATCACCTATTTCTAATTCTATCTATATCTTCCTATGCCCTTTGAAAAGCCCTTTTGTTTCTTTCTTCCTACATTACCCAAAAAATTGCAAAAGGAGATGAGTGCCACATGCTTTTCTCCCCACAAATGCCATTCTAAGCCTAGTCTCATTCCTAAACATACCAGTCATAGGATGGGTAATCTCCAGGGACCCACAAGCCATACCCCAAAAATTGTACGCGAATGGACATCCCTACAAAATATAATTACAAGTCTCCTTTGCCTCCTACATAGAAAAGAACCATTCACCATAGTTTTGCATCTTATCATCAGCTTATCAATGGTGAAATCTCATCCAGCCTCCTAAACAAAGAAGGCCACTCTCAAAGGGGCATTTACCTTTTAGATTTGCCGATGAGAAAACTTGATCTTAATGGGGTCATTCTTTGTCAGAAAGTTATTGAAAAACCTAATCATGAAAATCCTTGTAGAGTTGAGACTCCAAACCGGTTGATTATCACTCCCATTCAAGGATACATAGGCAAGTGCTCTCAGAAGAGTTTCATATTCATCAACTTCCCAGTCGTTGACATTTTTTATTGCCTCCATGTATTATTCCCTTACCTCCCAACCTCTGAATGACTCATGGACAACAATATACTTCTGTCATGTAATCCGAAAAATCTGGGAAAACCTATGTCTGAGCTCTCCCACCCGAAGCCAATAGTCATTCCAAAAGCTTGTTCTCATCCCATTGCCAACATTCCACCTGATGGATCCTTGAAAATTATGCTTTCCCATGCTTATCCATTTCCACACCCATTTCTTATGCGGTCTTGACACCTCTCTCGAGTACTAGCCTCCATTCATGGTACTAAATTTCGCTTCCATCAGTCTTTTCCAAAGAATGCCATTTTTTTAGTTCTTTGCACCACCCTCAAGCCAATTGGTATTGGAGGTCGTAGTTTTAAGATTAACCTGGATAAGTCGTAAATGGGCATACCAAGAGCCTTTTACTCTAGTGGTGCGTCTCCCCACCATAGATTCTTAGTGAAGGAAGTTACATGGGTCCAATGCCCCTCAAGACAAGGCTAAGAAGTCATTTATGGGCTTATTTTTTTCATAGAATTTTTGCTTTACTATGCTAATTCAGTATCTGCATTCTCACATTCAAGTCATGAATAGGAGGTACTATTTGTTTTATTAAAACACTAATCCTGTCATCCAAGAAGAGAATGAATATGGAATTAAAATAAAAGTAATGGAGCTCCTCATGTAGATTCAATTATTACAGGTATGAGATTAAAGATAATCTTTTTCCTGTCTTTATATGAAGGGACAATGATTGCAATCATTAGGAAGGAATAAAACATTATTTTATTTGATGCTGCGGCATTTTCTTGACGTTTAATTTAATTATTTTCTCCTTGGATGTAGCTCCACATATATATATATATATATAGCTTCTTTGAAAGTTTTGTCTCCATCTCGTTTATTGACAGTTATGACTTTATGTTGAATATCAGATTTTATTATTTAATTCTTTGATTAGTTAATTATTTAATTAATTAGTTTTATATAATTAGGATTTTATGAGAATAATAATCTCATATAATCAAAAATTTACTAGAATAAGAATATCTCTATTAATAGGATATGAATACTATAAATATTTTAAGTGTAACAACTTAAATGGCGAGAAATAAAATTATTTACACTTTCTTATATAAAATATTTTGAATCCTATAAGTTTTTATTATTGGGGGAAACAAATATGGGTTGTGACTTTACTGGTTCTTTTTTTTCCTCTCTCTTTAATTTAGTGTAAGAATGAAACATACCTCAATTGTTTTGGTCCTTTTGATGCAACTATTCAATTGCTTTCTTTAATGTTTCTTTTTTCTTAAATTATACTATATCATTTTGGTTAACTAAATTTTTTTTCATTATATCGATTTGATAAGAGATAAACTGGGAGAAGATCACGTATGGTATTTGTATGGAAATTGTTGCACAAAATACATTCCATTAGACAGAAAATGTTACTTTACATGATACCCTTTTTATAAACGATTTATATAAAAAATATTGAAGCTTTACTACTTTACTAAGATAGTGATTTGAGGCCTTGTATTTTTTTTTATATAAAGTTAATTTTCTAAAATACCTATTTTTAACATGTGTTCTTTAAAATGAACTTATTTATTTGTAATGATTTTCGGATTGACTGCTTTAAAGATATTTTGGATCTAACAAACTGAGATAAATCCATATTACAAGTTCTTTTTGGTAGAGAAATCAGGGGAGGTATAATCTATCTTGTTAAGCACCTGACGAATTTCTAGATGTGCAAAGGGGTCTACTTAAACAGGATTATGGCAGTAGCAGATTACAACAAGCTGGTTGGAGAAAATTGTTGCTTATTAATCATGCCATTGGGTTCCACTTGCTTGATATTGTTCAACTACTCCATTAGGAAAATAATTGGAACATAGCTCTGAATATGTGCAATTAAGTGGTGTGCCTTTGTGCTTGCTATGTAGTTTTTCACTATCTTAGGCACCCTATATTGGTGTGATGGCTTAAATGTTAGTGTTCAAACCTGAAGCTAGGTTTTCCTGGTTGAGAAATTTCCTAGTTGTCAACTTGATCACTGCTGTTCTAGGGTATGTTTGGAACAAATTAGTATTATTATTTTTTTTTGTAGAATTCAATGGGAAATGTATACTTTAATTTCAGATCATATCAGTTCCTAGTAGGATGGAATCCTTGGGTTGGTCCAATCTTGGGTACCACCAGATTTCCATTCACCCTATATTTTCATCAAACTTTATTGATGGTTGTTTTGTTGTCATCTCATTTTATGCCTTCTGAATCAAGTCATTCTTTCTGATATGGCTGCAATTACATATTCACCTCTTTGGTGGATTTAAGATGTACTATAAAATGAGTCCATGCTACTTCTTTTCTATATAGGAAAGAAAAATAGAGTTTCTTTATTGCAAGACATGAATATCTGATCCTGTGAAACAGGGAGATTTTCAGCTGTAGAATACTGGATTTGGATTTTCATTTGCTGCAATTTTAATGTGGCCACCTTATTTGTTAAGCTGTTGGAGTCATGACAATGCACGATTTCTTATTTTCTTTTTCTAATGTGTATTTGGAAGCATTATGCTAGGAATGGATATTGGCTTTAAACTTCACTTGCTTCTTAACTGGTCATGAACATCATTTTAGTTAGTGATTTGCCTATGTTATTCTTTACATTGTTGTAGTTTTGGTCATCATATTTGAGTTTTTGTTTTAAAGAGAAGTAGTGCCACATAAAAGGTTTTGGATTTTCATTCAATTTCCTTAAAAAATTGTTTACTATGATGCCTCCTTGCCTAGTAGAAAGTTTTGAAGGCTTGGACATCATGATTGGCACTTAAAATGGGGGTTTGTGTGAGTGTGTGGGGGGAAGGGGGTGTTCTCCTTATTTTTTCTCATGTCTAAGCTCTCACGGCAATGTAGGACATTGAGTTGGAGCACAGTACTTTTGAAAAATTTATTAAAGACAAAAATTAGAGGTATTTGATCTTAATAATGAAATTAACAAGTCAATATTTATATTATCATGATATGAATAGTCTACCAAGTAATTGAACTAGGACACCTTATAAAGAGACACTAAAAATTATCAACATAGAAATTCTTAAGTCTAATTAGAAATTCTAAAAAAGCTAATTCATTGAATGACCTATATCAAAGAATAACTAATAGAAGCCTTTTTAAATATAAAATAATAAATGCAAACTAAGAATAAGCATATAGGTATTAGTTCATAAATAAGCTAAATAATGGAATCATACATAAACATTACAATTATATAAATATCTTTTAGTATTGACATGTATCAACTTTAGGATCTATATTATACCCTACTTAGTGAAAACTTGAAATGGAGTATTAAAATATTGAAGTAGAAAGGACATGAAAAATTTGAACTTGTTTTCTTGACAATTGAAGCTTGCAAAATTTTACATTGTTGTGAGAAAAGAAGAATGCTTACAAGATCATTAATAAAATTCGTAAAATAAGCCTATAGGTACTAGTTGATAAATAAGCTAGATAATTAAATAATACGTTTCAATTATATAAATATCTTTTAGTTCACAAATGGGCTTATATGTGTTATGTTTTAAGCTGTGATAGTGATTCTTTGCAGATGGGTTTGTCAAATAAAAGATTGAAACTCTCGTATATGTACTTTCTTATTTGTTTCTTTATTTTTGTCAAATGCAATAATTTGTTACAGGCGAAATGTGTTTGATGTTTTGGATTGCATTTTGTTGAGTTTATTTATTTATTTTTTTATTTGACAAACAGGCTGTTTCTGCTTGGTTTGGATAAATGTGGGAAAGGAGACTGGCGAAGTATATCAAGGAACTTTGTGGTGACAAGGACACCTACACAGGTTGCAAGCCATGCCCAGAAGTACTTCCTCCGGTTGAACTCAACGAACAAAGACAGAAGACGATCAAGTATTCATGATATCACCAGCGTTGGCAATGGAGATATTTCAGCACCTCAAGGACCAATTACTGGTCAAACAAATGTGTCTGTTGCAGGAGGCTGCTCTGGCAAATCAACGAAGGAACCTCCACAACCTCCAGCTGGACCCCCAGTTGTTAGCATGTATGGTGCTCTGACCATCGACCAACCAATAAGTGGACCGCTTGTCTCAGCAGTAGGCGCTCCAGTGAACCTTCCTGCCCCACCGCATATGGCATATGGTGTTAGAGCTCCAGTTCCTGGAGCCGTGGTTTCCGGTGTGCCAATGAACATGGGTCCGATGACATATCCTAGAGCTCCAGTTCCTGGAACAGTGGTTCCAGGTGTGCCAATGAACATGGGTCCGATGACATATCCTAGAGTTCCAGTTCCTGGAACAGTGGTTCCAGGTGTGCCAATGAACATGGGTCCAATGACATATTCAACGCCGCACACTGCCCATGAGTCATTTATGCAGTATAATTAGGTACAAGATGTATAAAGTTGAAGACTTTTGGGCTTGTGCTGATGTGAGGTTGTCTATTTCTATCCGGAATAAGATGTGTAGTTGAAAGCAGCAAGTTGTGTGAAATGCTCAACTGTGATTTGTTTATCCTGAATTAGCTATATTATAGAGAGAGGAAGTATATGCGAATATATAGACACCTATGGAAAATGTGGCAGCAAGAACATTTGTCATTTTTAGTGTTGTTTTAAGTAATCTAGAAAGTCTATAAGTCAGGCTGTTAGTGTTAGACATAGTGTTTTAAACTTTTTATTGCAAAAAGGTTGTAAAGAATCTTCTTGTCCTTTGGTTATTCTATTTTGAGCAGCAATCCTGAGCATATACTATGCTGGGGGCTTTCATTTTTCAAATTTAACAGATCAGTTGAGTTAGTCATGTAAATCTCTTATTTGCTTTTCAATTTCTCATTCTGTTGGATTTTGAATAGGCCCTAACACTCAGCTTAGTTATGATATGAAGTGTGAATGCTCGTGAGTTATGCCCGTTCCACCCTCTACTTCTGCCTATTTTGTACCTGAAATGGATATGGAATTAGAAGTATGCTGTTCCTCCATGGTGATTTTTCTCTCACCCCGAATTGAAACCATAAGCTGTCTACAGGGCATGCCGTAGTTTAAGTGTTGTTGGAAAAAAATTGTAAAATTAATCAGAGAATATAACAAATCATCATACAAAATAAACACTAAGAACAACTATTCTCCTTTGTCAGTACAGCCAAAGTTAAAAGGTCAAAAATAAAAGACAAAATATCCATTTATGCAGATTTAGTATTATTGTTGTTGTAATATTTAATAAAATTTAGTTTGAACAATATTTTAATATTTAATAATAATATATATTATTATATCTAATTAGTTATTTTATAAAATTAATAATAAATATAAAAAATATTGAAATTTGCCTTACATGAAAAGTCAATTAGTATAAAAATGTAAATTTTTAACAAGTTAAAATTAACTTTAGTTTATTTTCTAATTTGATTTATCAATTAATTTATTAGACAAATAAGTAAACTAGTTTTTAATAGACTAATTATTTGAAGGGTACCGTCTCAGTTTTTAATAGACTAAAGTGTGGAAGCCCCAGGAGTAAAAATAGTAAGATTTATTCTCATAATATAATAATAATATATCAAAATTAATTATAAAATTTTTCAAATACAAAATTTTTTTAAAAAAATATGAGTTATTTATGATAAATATTAAATTAATATATTTTTTAAATTTAAAACTATTATTAATAAAGTAATAAAATATACTTGTGAAAAATATTGTTATTTTTTTTACTAAGATTTGTATTTAGAATTTTGTTATTTTCAAACAGAAGACTTGCAGTCTCCATTTCAAATCCTGTTACTGAAACTGATTAGAGAAATATGTCCTGGTGAAGACTTACAGTCTCTCCTGTCTCTTCTTGAGGTTCGGAATTCTCTGGTTTCAGTAACACAGACTCAGCCATGAGCCATGGCTACAACACTCCACACATTTTCTTTCGCCGAACCTGCAAATTCTTCCCATCTCATATCAATCAAGCTGTTCTCCCTCCCTTTTCATCCCAAGCTTTTGCCATTGTTCCACCCCAAAAGCCTCCTTAAACCCCATAAATCTGGGTTCCCCAATCACCCATCATGCTTCATAAAAAATTCCTTCATCTGGACTGCTACAGAGATTGCAGAGGCTGTCCAAGGCAGAATATTGAGACGGGGACCTCCTGGTTCCGTTTGTACGGACAAGACACCAGAATTCTAGAATCAAACCAATGCTTCTTCGCCATTAAGGGCGAAAATTTTGACGCCCACCAGTTGGTAAGCCCTGAATTGTCCCCAAGAGAATGTATCGGAGAGATTGCAAATCGAGTTTGCAAGAATTGGGACAAGGGTTTTGTTCAGATTAATGGTGATACTCTGGTTTCTTTGATCAATATGGCAAATTATGCAAGGGAGAAGTCTCTTGGTACACTGATAGTGTTACTGGCAGTACGGGGAACACTACTACAAAGCTATGATTGCATTGTGTCTTGAGATTTAAGGGGAGGTTATCAAGTCATGGAAATTGGAATACTAGAATTGGGTTTGCTTTGTCACTGATCGGGCTTCC